TTTTTTTTTTTCAGCTTTGCTCTCATGGAGGGCTGAACCCCGCATCAGAGAGAATGGGCAATGTGAAATTTTGACCCATGGTAAACCCACGTGTAATGAACCAGAACATCTGTTGGATAAGTGCAACCTCCGACCTTGAATGCCCGGTCATTATAATATAGCTGCATTTAGGGCAATTTGCAGTCCAGATGCAGCGATAATGACCGGGGATTTTATCTGGGTGGTGAAGATGGTAGTCTGGTTCCTGTCTGCCCATGTTAATGGCATTTTGGCCTAGCAGTTCCATGATGTCATTTTGGATTGTGGCTTGTGGCTTGCCATTAAAAGCTCTTTGCACACACACACACACACACACACAAAAAAAAAGAAAAAAGAAAAAAAAAAGACGACAACGAAGAAGAAAAAGAAGCTGTTTGCATGTGTGTGTTGATCTGTGTTCATGTATCTGGCGAGCACGAAGAAAAAAAAAATCACGCACTCGTACAAAACTTCAAACAGTTGTATTGCTCTGATTGGATCAGAGTTTGGACTTCTGACCTATGTTTCAAAGGATTTTTTTACCAGAGGATTTTTTAACCAAAGGATTTTTCAACAGTTGAATTTCACCAAAGGATTTTTTCACCTCAACCATGGTCCCCTATGTAAAACCAGTTACATGTGTTTAGTACTGTTTTTCCCATTCAGCCACATGGGCCTGGTTCAAAGAACACATTCCTCCTTTCTTCTTCTTCTTCTCCTTCTCCTTCTCCTTCTCCTCCTCCTTCTTCTTCTTCCCTTCAAAGAACACATTCCTATATCAAGCACATATCCAAATTTGTACACGTCTACCGCGATCAAACCTTTTTTTTTTTTTTTTTTTTTAATGTGGTCTGATCGTCCAATGGAGACCACGGACCACGGACCGGATAAAATACTGACCCCTCTAGAATCTAATACTGACCCCTCTAGAATCTAGATACTGACCCCTCTAGAATCTAGATACTAGACCTGGCTCAGCCAGAAGCCTGAAAACATTCAAAACAATAAAAAAAAGTGAGCAATTGCCAATTTGACAGCAGGGCAAGCACGCAAACGGACAACATCGCCCAGAATCTCTGACTGATGTTCCGAGTCCTAATCTGCGTTGAAGTTCGTTCTTTTCTTTTTTTTGCCCTTTCAATCTGCTTTGAAGGGGTCGAACGCATTTGCGAGTGGGCAGATGAAAGGGTCTAACCTATACAGGGATTTGAACCGTCAACCATGGTGATGCCCTATTTATAAACTAAAGCGATTTGGACGCTCAAGCATGGTGGTGCACAATTTAGGCAAGCAGGAAGGCAAGGAAGAGAACAGTATCAAAGCAAGCCGTTGGTAGAAGGGGAGGGGGGCGGCGAGGGCAAGGGCGAGGGAAGGGAGGGAGGGGATCTCAGCAAAGCAAGCAATGAGGGAACAAACGTGAAACAATAAAAAAAAAAAAAAAACAAGTCGGGATGTGGGCGGGAAGAGGGG